CATTTTTAAAAGGGCATAACTCTCAAAAAAAATTAGAAATGTTTCAATGACATCAGCTGTTTAAAACTCTATTCTTCCAATACATTTGAAAGACATTTTTTAAAGTGTACATTTTGTATATCAACCAAATTTCTTCAAATGTTTATTTTAAAACAATGTTTCAGGCTTTCTGCAGAACTGTATATTTCGGTAAAAATCGTCTCCTCGTCACTTCCGTTCACTAAGCAAAACACTGACTGTAGCCTGACATTCTTGTGGAAAACTGGCCATAACGACTGTTAAAGTGTCTTAACCTTCATGAGAGTTGGTGGTTAATGAAAAGAATATTCAATCTACAATATGAGTTGTTGATTTTAGTGCTTTGTTCAGATTTATGAGACGATTCGACCAAATTTCTCGGCAGTGCCTCTCGGTTTGCAGACGAAGTTGGAAACCTTGTTAATTTATATAAAGAGAGTGGGGTAGAATTTTTTTTATAAAATGTTAGTTTAAGCAAGTTTTCTGAATTGATGGGATAGATTATATCACAAATGTGTCATCCATATATAATTTATGTGAAAAAAGTCTAACAGGTCCGGGAATCTCTCTTGGGGGTGGGGGGGGTTCCTTTCCTCAAGCACCTGTGAACTAATTCGATATGCAGAGCGTGTTTTGAATACCACCAACTTTCAAACCAGGACAAGCTACTGACAAATAAGTTGATACAGAGATTTTAACAACTGTCTAAACCCAACATTTCAAAAAGTCTGTTGTTGTCGTCATAAGGACCCTGTTTATTAGATAAAAAAAAAACAACTTATCATACGATTATATTTTGTTTGATGTTTCAAACCATTTGTTGGGTCATTGCTTTTATACTAAATCTGACTATGGAGTACTCCATCTACATGATCAATACATAGGGATCACAGCGGGCAAAATTCCTTATTCTACTATTTTTCATTATTTTTAGAGGAGTAATATTGTTGTCGTTATATAGAGTGTAAGACAGTCAACAGTAAAGCTTTTTAAGAAACCCATACCTTGGCCACAAAGTTAACCTAAGTAATCATGGTCATTCTTCGTTTTCATAAGCAAATTCCTTTTCCTTTGTTTTGGTATGTAAAACTTCAATAATTATATAACTAATTGAAGCTCCTTTTTACTCATGAAATCCCGATTTGAACAAACTTTTATCTTCACTACCTAATGTTCTTTCCACAAAATAAATATGTCTAATCGTGACTTTCCTGTTATTGAAAAAAGATTTTAAATAATTTTCTATTGTGGTCCCACCCTGCCTTGGGGTTATGATTTTGTAATGAAAATGTGGTATTAATCTTGAATTTAGCGCCCTTTGTTGGCAAGTTACGCGACTTGCGCTCTAAGGGTATATAAACATTACGCTCAGCGCCAGCACCTTGAGTTTTGGATTTCCAATCGAAAGGTCGTGTCATCACGTAATGAACGTTCTTAGTGGACATATTACTACAATAACATAAAGTTTCTTTTAGGTTAATTAAGTGTTGAGTATCTGAGTACTCATTTGTTGAGAACTCATAACACCTTAGAGAGCGGGATGTTCTACTCATAACTTGAGTAAAATTTTTGAGAAATATAAGAATGATGAGTAATATTTTTGAGAAATATAATTTTGTTTATCTACGTTAATATCTATTCATGATTGTTTGCTAAGAAATTGAGAGTGATTACGTTTTATTTTACACGAGAGAAACTCTTACTGCCTTATTGTATACTTACATGTATTTGTATACTTTGCAGGCGATTATTTATATACATACATTCGCTGTATCTGTATCTTTTGACGCGTTACAATTTGAACAAACTTAATATACCAGCAGTTTATGCATCCGATGATCTGATTGATTGATAATGTCTTTAGCTCACCTGAGCCGAAGGCTCAAGTGGGCCTTCTGATCACATTTTGTCTGTCGTCTGTCCGTCCGTCCGTCTGTAAACTTTTCACATTTTCGACTTCTTTTCAAGAACCAGTGGGCCAATTTTAACCAAACTTGGTAAAAGCATCTTTAGGTGAAGTTCCCTTACAAGGGGAGATAATCAAGAAAAGACAAAAATAGTGTGGAGTCATTAAAAAATCTTCTTCTCAAGAACCACTTGGTCAGGAAAGCTGAAACTTATGTGGAAGCATCATTGGGTAGTGTAAATTATAAATTGTTAAAATCATGACCCCCGGGGGTAGGGCAGGGCCACAATAGGGAATCCAAGTTTTACATAGAAATATATAGAAAAAATATTTAAAAAATCTTCTTAAAAACCACAGGGCCAGGAAAGCTGACACTTATGTGGAAGCATTCTAGGGTAGTGTAGATTCTTTTTTGTTAAAATCATGACCCCCGGGGGAAGGGCGGGGCCACAATAAGGAATCAAAGTTTTACATAGAAGAATATAGAAAAAATCTTTAAAAATCTTTTCTCAAGAACCACAGAGCCAGGAAAGCTAAAACTTATGTGATAGCATCCTAGGATAGTGTAGATTTTAGATTGTTGAAATCATAACCCCCAGGGGTAGGGCGGGGCCACAATAAGAAATCCAAGTTTTACATAGAAGTAAATAGAAAAAAAATCTTTAAAAATCTTCTCAAAAACCACTGGGCCAGGAAAGCTGAAACTTATATGAAAGCATTCTAGGGTAGTGTACATTTTAAATTGTTATAATCATGATCCCCTGGAGGTAGGGCGGGGCCACTATAAGGAATCCGAGATTTACATAGAAATATTTAGAAAAAATCTTCTTCTCAAGAACCACTGGGCCAGGAAAGCTGAAACTTATGTGGAAGCATCCTAGGGTAGTGTAGATTCTACAGTATTAAAATCATGACAGGGGAGGAGGTAGGGGCCATGATAGGTATAACAAGAGGGGGAATCTGGTAAAGAACTGCATCACCCAATTTACTCAGGTGAGCGATGTGGCCCATGGGCCTCTTGTTTTCTTCTTTTCTTGATGACATCTTTCGAGATTTTCCCCATGTATTACTATCTAAAACTTTGATTGCCCATTTTGGCCTCACCCTACCCTTGGAAGGCATAATTAAATAAACATGAAGCTATATTATCTGTGGATATTTCATTACATATATAACTGATTATGGCTTTGTTGTTCTTGAAATTAAAGATTTTTTTTTTTTAATTCCTATGCATCCTTTTATAAAACTGTAACCCACTCTACTTCACTGCAAAAACCTTCAGTACTAGTTTCATCTTTTCTAGCTGCAGATCTGTAGCTCTCTGAAAAAATATATATTGATAGACCGGAGAGCTACAGTGCCACCCATTGAAAAAACTGTATATTTATTGCGCACAAAAAAGTGCGCTCGATTCTTGATTAATTTTTCCAAATTTTTACCTAAATTGCAAAAATAAAAAAATACTCTCTTCTCTATCAAGTTCTCTCATAGTTGACATCTAAACGAAGCATACTGGACCGAATTATCTTTGAAACCAAAATGGCTGTATAAATAAGCGAAATGTCCGATGATTGCAATATCAGGTCCAGGAGGACTATTAACAACAATTATGAGGAATGTTTTGTTGTGGAAAGAGTCAAAGAATATGTTAGGAACACACGGTTGGTAATATTTTGAGATTACAGCTTTAAAAAAATGGAGAAATAAATCGAGAACCGAGCGCAGTTTTTTGTGCGCAATAAATATACAGTTTTTTCAATGGGTGGCTCTGTAGCTCTCCGGTCTATCAATTTTTTTTTTCGGAGAGCTACAGATCTTCAGCTACATCTTTTCAAGCCCAAGGGTTCATAAAAAAAAACAATTCATCACCATTAGGCCATCTTAAAAATAATGTTTGATTGCCCTCTCCCGACTCGATGTTATTGGGTTTTTTTTTTATTTGACCTGTGGTTCTTGAGAAGATGAAATAATTATTGTAAAACTTTAAGGACCACGATATCAACGTCGACAACAATAACAGCATCAGACAGCGAACAAAATTTTGTCAGAAAAGCTCATTTGAAATATTGATTCACATGAACTAATGCACATGAAGTCAAAAAAGCATGGGGGTCGAAAGAACAACTCTAAGATTGAAATAATTTTACTCATAAATCAAATATTTTATGAACCCAATCATTTACCTTTAGATCCGGGCAATTACTTAATGGTAATGAAAAAATTATTATTTCTTTTGAAAGCTCAGTACAATAAAATAAGTGAAACCTAAAGGAAGCAAAAAAAAAAAAAAAAAAAAGATTCTGAACATTAAAAAAAAATTAAATCAAAGTATAACTAAACTTACTGTAGCTATAGTGTGGATGCATCCAGTCCGCAAAAGTCAGATATAAATTCTGAAATATATCAAATATATTATTTTCTTTTTTCAACACCATCTTTCACCACCAGAACATTTTGAGTTCAGACTTTTGGAAAGTTCACAGTTTTAAAGTAAGAATTCTTATTTATTTGAACAACCCAACACATGTATATGCAATGCTGGAATAGCTAGGAACCTGTTTTTTAAATTTTTTAAATCGAATTTAAAAAGTTCTTTGTCATGACAGTAAATAAAAATTCGCTTTTAAAATTTAAAATAGTATTATTCAATGTAAATTGATCCTTACATCGCGGTTTCGAATCCCACTGTGGGACATGGAAACTGGTCCTGCGGATGAGAACGTATACGTATAAACTGAGGTCCCGTGTCAAAGTAGGTGCTGGTGTAAAGACGAATAATGACCCCCATCGAATAATGACCGGGGGTCATTTTTCAGCGACAAAAAATGACCCCTACCCGTAGAAAAAATCATTTTTCGTAGAAAAAGAGTCCTAGGGATTGGAGATGAAATATAGTTTGTTTTTCTTTATGGACTCCATTGATACGTTGTTTCGAAAAAAAAAATTGTTGGGAAAAAGCTACAAATTCTAGAAATTTGTAGCAGACGAATTAATACGTAATTTTTTCGAATTAATCCTATTTGACAATGAAAGAGGATGAAATTTTTATCCCTCCCCCCCAAAAAAATCAAAAGAACATTACGTTAAATCAAAACAAAAAAATAAATGAAAAGCAAAAATATAAATAAAACTCTATACCTTTCAATAATACTGATAGAGGCTCTAGATAAAATATTGAAATGAAGTTAAGCCTTCACACAAGTACTATCATCATAATTTACTTCGCCATGATTAAAGCATACTTTAAATATTGGTGGAGGTATAATTGAAAGTATTGTGGCAAAGTAACAGTTAAAAATTAGTAGAATAGTAGATTATTTTAAGCTTATTTTTAGTCCCTCCTTATAGAAAAACAAAGGTAGGGTAGTTTTTTTTGTTGCTTTTGTTGATAATCGACTTCCTCCTAAATAAGTAAGGGGTGGGGTTGGTATAATACCTAAAAATATGCCCTGTAAAGCTATGGGCTAGTGTAAAATACACATTCTAATGCAAAAACTATAATGTAGACATAACCTTTTGATTTAGCACACAGTATTCATTACATTTCTTAATTCTTGTTTTACTCCTGACCACTCTTTTACTCCGTTCTGAGTATATTTTTCAGAGAATTTAATATGATAATCAGAACAAACATTTTCATTTTTGTAACGTCTTCTTTATACTGTATCATAATATGACAAGTTAATTGAAGACAATTTCTTTTTATAGTTTAAAGTTTTTATAGTATATAGTTTTATAGTTTTATAATGTCCGTATGTATGGCTGTCTGTCTATCTGGCGTCTGTTTGTCCGCAAAAACTTTGACCTTGTCCATAACTTTTCATTTATTGGAGCTATGACTTTCATATTTAATATGTGTATTCCTTGTGACAAGAAATTCCTTTGGGTACCACCAAATTTGACCTTGACCTTGGAGATTTCCGTACTTATGAAAAAAACTTTAACCTTGGCCATAACTTTTGAACGGTAAGGGCTAGGGTTTTCATACTTCACATATGTAATCCTTGTTACATTAAACCTTTCTTAAGAAACCATCAACTTTGACCCTTTGAGTTTGACCTACCTTTCAAAAACTTATCCTTGGCCATTACTTTTGAAGAAGTGGTGCTAGGGCTTTTCTATTTAGCAATTGTATTTCTTGTGAGAAGACCCTACTTTGGGTACCAATGTATTTAAATTGCATTTAGGAAAAGTTTAATCTTCGCTATGTTGCCATACAGGCGCATATTAGCTGTTTCACAAACACATTTTTTTATACATAAGAGGAGTTGCGGATAAGAGATGGATACCAAAAAGCGTAACAGACGGACGGACATCCCGATCACTATATACCCTCCCGCTTTTCAAGCGGAGGATATAATAATATAATAATACTGCTGATTTTTTCTGTCAGTACGATGATTTTCACCATCGAAAAACAATGTATACATAACCCTTTAGGCTCGATAAATCTTTTTCTCCTTTAGATTCTGAATCATCACGTTGACCTTAAAATATTTTTTTTTGTCCCTAAAAATTTCACAGGGAGTCATTTTTCTACGGGGGTCATTTTTCTTCACGTGTGTTCTGCAAATTTTTAGGGTAGTGATACTTTTTCTACGGGCAAAAGGGTCATTTTTCGACGTCAAATAATGACCGGTGGTCATTTTTCGCCGTAGAATATTGACCGAGGGTCATTTTTCGCTGTCAAAAAATGACCCCCGGTCATTATTCGATGGGGTCATTATTCGTTGGGGGTCATAATTCGTCTTTACACTGGCACGAAAAAGATCCCTCACTGCTCAATTGGCGTAAGTATCGAGTATAGGATAAAATTGGCAGCTCTCCACCGGCACGTGGTGGCCTCTCCATATGAGTGAAAAATTCTCGAGAGGGACGTTAAACAACATACAAACGTTGAAAATAAAAAAAATTATAGCATTTTATTTTTTTTTAATTTCTTTCATAGGTAAGAGTTGCTATTAAAATTGACTTTTAATTTGATAACATAGTACTTACGGATAGTATAAACGCAAACAACAAGAATGTCTTCATCTTTCTTTCTGAAAAATGACATAAAGAAAAGAATAAAATATCATTGCTTTGGCAGATAAGAAACATTTTAAATTCATTGTGAAGAAACCAACGAAATAAACCTTTCCCGTTGCAAGGACATTTCTGTTTGATGAAATGTTTGTTTAGATCAACGTCCTATCGCTAACGTTTATCTGCCATTTCTCGGAATATCTATATCTAAAGCTTCGTTGAACTACCCAGAATAGAACTCATATGACTGCATATTTGTACAGTTTATCTGATTCCATCATACGACCTATTTATCTATTATCTTATGCATTTACTTTACTCTGAATATCAAAAATAAGATACATCGGAGTTTTTTTTCTAGATCTTAAAAAAAGGGGACTAGACCTTTCCATTTGGGAAAAAATAGCGACATTTGGTTGAAATTGGGAAAATATAATATTTAACATTTTTCTATATATAAATTCAAATAAAAGGATTTTTTCATTTGCAAGGTATGGTATTTCTTTGGCTTATTTTACTTTCAGTCAAACAGTTTTTGGAGAATGCCTTTTAAAACTGTATTTGAAACAACATTTTTAATGTACATATTACTGAGTTTGGACATTTTTTAAAACTCATTTGTTTGTTTCGATTCTCTTTTGGGAATTTTCTTTAATGAAATTGGGAAAACTCATACTTTTTCCAACTGGGAATGGGGCTTTCGTGGGGATCCGGGTTAGAATAGGTCCTCAGTACTTCTTGCTTCTCGTAAAAGGCGATTATATGAGGCGGTCCTTCGGATGAGACTGTATAAACCGAGTCCTCATGTCACAGCAGGTGTGGCACGATAAAGATCCCTCCCTGCTCAAAGGCCGTATAAGTGCCGAGCATAGGCCTAAATTTGCAGCCCTTCATCGGCAATGGTGACGTCTCCATATCAGTGAAATATTCTGGAGAGGGACGTTAAACAAAATGCACTAAACAGGCCCCTATAAACCCCCTGTACCTTAACTTAAAAAAATCTTTTAAAATCGCGTTAGATATTAAGAATAAAGGAAGATGTGGCGATAAGGCGGGCAGAATGCCTATAGTACTACAGATAAGAGTGATAATTTTAATCTAAATTATATCCAAATTTTGTCATATTCCATCTAATATTAAAGTATACTTAATGTACAATCTCTATAATTTACAAAAATTTCACTAAGACAGAAAATATTTGCCTATGAAAAAGCATACCAGCCTTAAATGAACAAAAACGATAATTTCTTCATAATTTAAAGATATATATGCCGTATTAGTGTTTTATTTTTAAAGAAATAAATATATGTGGTGTATCATCAAGTTATAAAAGTTATATACTTTCTGCAAATAAGACAATTCCACTCCATCACTTTTAAAAGGTATGAAATATTATTTGGTAAAAATTGTTTTCTCTCCGAGTCGGATATTAAACCGCCTCTTATTGAAATATTCATAATCACGTGGGCTCGCATGCTCACAGCAAACAATAGTCCAGTTTCGTGAATGAGCTGAAAAGCATGATGGTCTACTACGTTTTTACTACAAACACGTGGGTTAGGAGATTAAGGATGCGATTTCAAATGACGGCTGGAAAGCCAATGGAATATACAATTTTTTGAAACGTGTTTGAGAAAAATAGGAAGAATTGGTACTATTTAGAATTTCCGTGCTCTCATTAACAAACAAATTCAGTTTTTCTTGTAAAAAAGGACTTTGAAATACCGCTCACAAAGTCTCCACAAGTAAATAAGACTCCAGTTTTAGATATTCGTATTTGCCGTGTAACTGGTTGAATTAATTGTTGCTCAGTTATTACTACATGTAGAAATTTAAAAGTTTATGCATTTATAAAAAGGACAAGTTTTGCGTTTTTTTTTTAAATTACCTCTACATTAATGCTCATGTGCATTGATGTAGAACGTGTATTGAGTAGCATACTGTATGTTTCGAAGTTGTACACGTTGTAAACATTGTCAATACGTGAGCACACCTCAGAGTTGAATGCTTTTTGTACCGAGGAATAATCACGCGTGAAATTAATTTTTCACTGACAGCTACAGCACGGGGAAACTGTAAACAAACGGAGCTGTACAATGATGTGGGGAAAACTTAAATTTTTATCATTGTTAATCATTTGTATGCAAATGTGAGCATGGGATTAGTAGATAATAATGTATATAATGCATTAAGCGTGTAAATGCTTGGGAAAATGCATCATGTCTTTCCGAGAGCGATTTAAAAAAAACTAGCCTTTTCGAAAAACACATGTAGTATTTTATGTACTTGTAGTAACCCATAAATGCATTAAATGCAACTCATTGAGCTGATTGGTCGATTTGTCAGTCATGTTGGTTCCTCACTGAACAGACGTCACAAAAACTAGTTTCCTCGACCTGGGTCCGCCGTCATAAAACTTTGAGAATTCTCAAAAAGAAATCTCAACTCAAGTCTTGAGAATTACTCAGCTGAGAATTTGAGAATAAAACTGAGTATAACCTCATGATATAAGGAATTTTTATTTTTCTCAACTTTTTATGAAGGCCGCTGAGTCTGAGAATTTTGGATTTGAGAAAATCCTCAGACTTGAGAGCATTCTCAGACTTAAGTATGTTTTTTAACGGCGGGCCCTGATGATTCTCGTGATGTTTTTCCCGCGCACATGCGCAGATCCAGCATAAACGTCAGTCCTTTATAAATATGCATGAGAATATCGTGTTCTTTTCCCGACCAGTACTTTGTTAATACCGAAAAATATTTCGTCGAATTTGCAAGAATGCTTCATTTTTCATGGCTTATCATACTTCAGAAATTTTTGTTTGGTTTCAGCTGTGCAAAAATACTGTTTAACATGGCATACATATCTTTAACAATTTTTTTTTAATATGAGTGGGTCTTCGCTCCATTTTTTTGAAAGAAAATCCTAAAAGTTTGCGATAAAATAAATATTTTTTGGTTTACAAAAGAATGGAGCGAAGACCCACTATACCTTTAAAGTACACTTTTATGACAAAACATTCGCATCTTTCCGAGAAATACTTCAAGTTCATTAAGTCAAGGGTCAGATCACAAACATGATAAATGCCACTCATCATCATGAGCCATGTAGCATAGTGGTTAGCGCGTTAGTATCAAAGCAGTATGATAACTCGGTATTTCATTGATGGGGGTTCGAATCCCACGTACAAATGTATACCATCGAATATTTTTATAAATGAAATTTTTTAAAGAGATTTATTTTCTCGCAGAAAATGTTTTTTTTTCTCATAATTTCATAAATTTCAATAATGAAAAGTAAATTTAAATACTCAATTTTATGGAATCCGGATAGGGCCATGCAGTTTACTATCGCACCATCGAGTATCGACTAATAGGTCGATGGCGCGATAATGCGATAACGATGAAGCGATGACGATGGAGTTATGGTGCGATAGCGCGATGACGATGATGCGATCAAGCGATAATGCGATGACGATGGTGCAATAGAACGATAGAGTAAAAGTGAATGTTGCTTTATCGTCATCGTACCATCGCGCCATCGTCATCGCACTATCGTGCCATCACTATCGCACCATCTTGTTATCGCGCCATCTTGTTATCGCGCCATCGCTTCATCGTGATATCGTACCATCGCCATCGCATCATCATTATCGCACTATCGCAACATAACTTCATCGTCATCGCACCATTGCTTCATCGTCATCGCATTATCGTGTCATCACATTATCAACCCAAACCGTACCTCGATGGTGCGATGATGCGATAGTTAACTGCATGGCCCTATCCGGATTCCATACAATTTACGTATCAAATGTAATTTCTTAATATCTGACGCTATAGGCATTCTGCCCGCCTTATCCCCCCATCTTCTTTGCTTTCGATTTATAATGTGTTAGGAATTTCATACCTACTGTAAACAGTGGATACTCCTTCTATATCTAAGAAAGATGAAGAAAATACTAGTTATAATAATAATAATCAAATACTAATTATATATACAACAAAGCTTTGCTGTATGTCTGAATATGATCAATATGTTGAGTGTTATAAATATAGGTTCCATAACCAGCGCGATTAATTTGGTTCGTGTTTTAAACCAGAGGCCATGAAATTCACAATTTACAATTTTGAAAGAGGCACCATTGCTTATCATAATTATTAACTTAGCATGCTTACTCTATTTACTTAATACCCAGAGGTAGATCAGAGAAAATGCACTTCCACTTTATACCCAGTTGTGCACCTCACCCTAAAGGAACCACTGACCCATGGGCCACATATTTCAAAATTTTGCAAATGTAACTATGTAACCCCCCCCCCCCCCCTCTGACCCTGGGGGCATAAAAAAACACTTTGCTAGATGCACCTTTCTTCATCATAAATAAATATATACTTGGATCATTGGCATAAAACCCAGAAGCAAAGGAAAATATTTTCAATGAATTTATTTTTACTATATAATCAATAGAGCCCCGCCCTAGCACCAGAACCCCTAACCCTGGGGCCATAAAATTCACAATTTTGGAAGAGGCACTCTTGCTCATCATAACTATGAGCTTAGTTAGTTTATTAAATACCCAGAAGCAGAGAAGAAGATTTTCAAAGAATTAATGCATTTTCACTATATAATCAATAGAACCCCGCCCTAACACCAGAACCCCTGATCCTGGGGCCATAAAATTCACAATTTTGGAAGAGGCACTCTTGCTCATCATAACTATGAGCTTAGTTAGATTATTTAATACACAGAAGCAGAGAAGAAGATTTTCAAAGAATAAATGCATTTTCACTATATAATCAATAGAGCCCCGCCCTAACACCAGAGAACCCCTGACCCTGGGGCCAAAAAATTCACAAATCTGGAAGAGGCACTCTTGCTCATCATAATTATGTGCTTAGTTAGTTTATTTGATACCCAGAAGCAGAGAAGAAGATTTTCAAAGAATAAATGCATTTTCACTGTATAATCAATAAAGCCCTGCCCTAACACCAGAACCCCTGACCCTGGGGCCACAAAATTCACAAATCTGGAAGAGGCACTCTTGCTCATTATAACTATGTGCTTAGTTGGTTTATTTAATACCCAGGACCAGAGAAAAAAATTTTCAAAGAAATAATGCATTTTCACTAAATAATCTATAGAGCCCCGCCCTAACATCAGAACCCCTGACCCTGG